ATGAGGGAGGGCACTAGCCTAACTGCACATTAAAACTCCATCACTCTGGTCACCTATTAATTCAGTTCACGTTCGTATTTACGGTCGTTTTCGGAATGTCCGTCTTGTGATCTGTGGATTCTGGCAGTGACTGTGTTGAGGGTTGCAATTATTGTCTTAGCTGTGGCATTTATGGGTATTTGAGAGTCGGCGAAGAACAGCTAAGATTGCTAGAGGTAACTTTTGTTTATATTGTCAGCGATATTACACTAAATGTCACGTCGCAGTGCTGGCACACAAACCGTCATGTCGCAGTTCTGATATACAAAGCGTCAAGTTGCTGTGCTGATACGTCTCGCCGTCGTAGTGCTGATGCAACGTCACGTCACAGTGATGATACAACGTCACGTCAGTGATGATACAACGTCACTTCACAGTGCTGATATACACAACGGAGAACGAACAACGAACAATTGTAATCTAAGAATAAGCGTTGTCCAAAGAAATATTCGATGTTTTTTCTTGACAGATTGTGTATAAGTCCAGTACATAAAGCTGAAGAAGGTCCAGAGGTCCACAAGCAGATTAGTCGCTGGTGTGAGGGACATGAGCTACGATTAAATTTTAAATGAACTTCATCCAGCGTTACCGAAAGACTGACGCGTCAGGTGAGATGTGATCACAACGTTACGATATTTATAGGTACTGACAGTGTACATATTCAGACAATTTTACACATGAAGGGTCAAAACAAAGGGAGAACAGATGGAAGATTCTCGCCCAGATGTTTGGAATTAGAGCTTAGGACCATGTGAAAGGACTTAAGAAGTAGAGAGACATTCCAACATGGATTGCAAAGTATTATGATAAAGAGGTCAGGAACCAACGTACATCCAGGTGAGTACACACACACACACACACACACACACACACACACACACACACACACACACACACACACACACACACACACACACACACACACACTTTGATATATGCGAACGACATGATGGAAGGAATAGACTCTGAAGTGTCCCTATTCGCAGATGATGTGAAGTTGATGAGAAGAATTAAATCGGATGAGGATGAGGTATGACTGCAAAGAGACCTGGACAGGCTGGACATGTGATCCAGAAACTGGATTCTCGAATACAGTCCTGCCAAATGCAAAGTCATGAAGATTGGGGAGGGGCAAAGAAGACCGCAGACAGAGTATAGGCTAGGTGGACAAAGACTACAGACCTCACTCAGGGAGATTCTGAAGAAGAAGCAAGGAGCCTGGCGTTTATATAGTAACGTCAGGTGTAGCAGACGAGGGCATAGTCACTGGTAGGCGGGATTCCCCAGTGGAAGTAGGTCCTTCCCCAAGAGATGGGTTAGTTGTAGTAGTAGTTGTCGTAGTCGTGAAGGTTATGTACATGTCCTCAGAATCAAGATTCCATGATGTTGCAGTGTCTGACAAGTTGTGTAAGAATGGTATATAATACAGACAAGATGAAATTAAGACACGTGCAACATCTGGGTATCTTTATTGCAGACGTTTCGCCATCCAGTGGCTTTATCAATACAAATTCAAGGACATAACTTAAAGACAGTAGGGCTATATACAGAAGATGAGGTAATCAGTCCCTCAACCTAGGAGTAGGTGCGAAGATGTTGCACATGTGTCTTAATTTCATCAAGTTAGAGAAAGTACAAAGGTTTGCAACAAGGCTAGTCCCAGAACTCAGGGGAATGTCGTACGAGGAAAGGTTGAGGGAAATCGGACTGACGACACTGGAGGACAGACGGGTCAGGGGAGACATGATAACGACATACAAGATACTGCGGGGAATAGACAAGGTGGACAGAGATAGGATGTTCCAGAGAGGAGACGCAGAAACAAGGGGTCACAACTGGAAGCTGAAGACTCAGACGAGTCACAGGGACGTTAGGAAGTATTTCTTCAGTCATAGAGTCGTCAGGAAGTGGAATAGCCTAGCAAGTGAAGTAGTGGCGGCAGGAACCATACATAGTTTTAAGAAGAGGTATGACAAAGCTCAGGAAGAGTAACAACCAACACACATAACACACAGCAACACCACACACCAGCACCACACATAGACACACAACGACTAACACACACACACACACACACACCCACACACACACACACCACACACACACACACACACACACACACACACAACACACATACATACACCAAACACACAAATAACATACACACAAACACACCGACAACACACACAGAACAAGCACACACACACAAGTTTTCACAATGGGAAAGTTGAAAGCTCATGAATCAAAGGGAGTTAGGAAGTATTCTTCAGTCATAGAGTAGTCCAGGCGTATGGAATACCCCTAAAAGTGAGTATTGGAGGCGGGAACCATACATAGTTTTAAGGCTAGGTATGATAAAGCTCATGGAGCAGGAAGAGAGGAACTAGTAGCAATCAGTGAAGAGGCGGGGCCAGGAGCTATGAATCGACCCCTGCAACCACAAATAGGTGAGTACAAATAGGTGAGTACACACACACACACACACACACACACACACACACACACTTCATGCATTACAGTGGCAAACACACAAATTTTATCTGCAAATAATATATATCGAAGGAGAGAGACGCAGAAAACACATGTCGGCGCTGAGTTTTAGTGTAATTCCTTCCTGTAGTTCGTGTTGGATGAGCTACTTTTAGAGCAAGATTGGCCAAAGTTCCGTTTATCTAATCGACTTGATTGTATAGCGAAGCTGCTAGATTAAATCATGTACAGTTATCTATAACTAACAAGAACATATCTTCTCGAAAAGTAACTCTCGAGTTGGTAGTACAATTATCATTGTCCCGTCTCGGGAGATGTGGTATTTCAGGCGGGTTTAGCCCGTCTCGGGAGATATGGTATTTCAGGCGGGTTTAGCGCTGCATGACCCAACGGGTCATGCAGCTCAGGAAATGGTTGAAGCTCCATCCTCTGCCCGCTAAACATGAGACAGACGGCACTGTAACTGTACTCTCCGATTTCTGGAAGAGAATTAGTAACAGTCTTCAACTGCCTCGCAGCATATATAAGGGGATTACCAGTGAACCGCTGGTTGTCTTCAAGAGGGAGCTGGACAGGCACCTGAAGTCAATACCTGACCAGCTGCGATTCGTACGTCATTTGCGTGCAGCCAGCAGTAACAGCCTGGTTGATCAGGCCCTGATCCACCACTAGGCCTGGTCATGGACTTGGCCGCGGGGGTATGACCCCTGAAACATCTTCAAGTTATACTCCAAGTATACATTACCACTGTATCCAGGCCTTAAGATAGTTTAATCCCAGAACTTATTACTGGATCACTGAATCCAGTGATCCAGTAATCCAGTGATCCAGTGATCCAGTTGTCGCAAATCACGATTTCCTGAACTTCCGATACAAACTCGAGCAATCAAGTTACGTTATTCAAATATCCATACAAAGCGAAAGTTCAGTGTAAAATTTCAGTTGGTAAAACACGTTGTATCTCAGAGATATAGCATAAAGGAGATCCATAAAGAACAAAAAGGCACACTACCGGGACTGGAACAATACACAAATAACCCGCACATAGGAGAGAGACGCTTACGACGATATTTCGGTCCTCTCGAACCATTTACAAAGTCAGATTAACATGAAAGGTCCTAGACAGACCGAAACGTCTCTTAAGCTTCTCTCTTCTATGTGCGGATTATTTATGTACGAAAGAGATCTTTGTCACTGTAGATGCTTTCCTTTCTCATTATGTTATCAAATGCTCCAAACCTCAGAACACTCGGGATCCGACCTCATCTTTATCTCTCCCTCTCCCTACATGCTTCTCTTTCCTGTATTTTCTTTGCCGTTCCTGCCTTCTGTCTAGATGGGTTCTGTTCTATAGGTTTTATCCCACAGGGAGTTAGTCCTACCTCATCTTACCTCCAAGTGACATTATATCTACTGCCATGCTCTTCTGTTCTCTTGTTGCTTTGGTCGCCACCACTGTTATTACACTCCACTCTGTGCTCTCTTTTTTCACTACCATTACTACGTCTTATGACTATTGCAGTTCTACTATTGTTTCCTAAAGCGTGGATTATTTGTGTATAGACTAGATAGTAACTTAGTGAACTATGAACGTTCAGTAAGGTCAGCACAAACTAGCCACCAGTATATCTAGTTCCCAGACTCCCTCTCAATGCTTTGTTTTAATTTTTGTCTTGTATTCCAAGGACTAAAGTAATTTAAAGATAACTTAGCCAGCTTTAGCTCCACCATAATTATGAATCTCAATTTAGTCATCAGAAGGCTGAATTAAAACCAAACACCCATCTTAGTTTTCATTACTTGAAGATTTCGTTCACTCTTTACGCAAACTGCAAATCTTAAGTCCCATATTTATTGTCCTACTGCTTAATTTTATTAATTTATATCAGTACCAAATTACTACAACAGTCTTAAACAAAAATACGTTTTGTTTTTCTTTGAAGCTTTAAGTATAAACCATAATAGTGTTACTTTTCTTGCCTTGACAGTTATCACTGAGAAGTGAAATGAAAAGACGCTTTTTAACTTTGATTATGATAGTGCTTCGCTTTGTGTAGAGCGAAACAAGTCCCCAAGCGCTTGTTCTGTAACGTGTCTTATACACTATTACCGGCAGGGCACCAGTAGGTTTCAGCTTGTTTGGTATAAACTTTGGTAAATGATACCAACGAGTGGTTTAAAAAACAGGTAAGCAGACACTAGGACTTGCTAGAAAAGATTTCGGTCCTGATACCTTGATCACTGGAAACTTAGAAGTCATCAATATCTCATGATGGAAACGTTCTCTAATATGTCCAAGTGTTTACCCGCGTGTCTGTTTTTAAACCAATGGCTTGTTTGAGAGCAACAATACATCACTGGGTTGTATCAGTTGAGAAAAAACTGATGTAACTTATTAATGTAATTTGATTAAGTTTTTATTTTACTTGTTTTTTAAACGATTAATCTTACTGAAAATAAAACTGGCTTACTTTAACACTCGGAGATGTTAGTGAAGAAGAGGTTAAGATAAAGTGCCTCCTTGAGCTGGTAGGTATCTTGAAGACGCTGGCGTCCTTAATGAGTCGCTGGAGTCCTGGTGATCCGTAGAGCGTGGAAGAGAGGGTGAGAAGGAGAGCGTCCTGTAGGATGGCTGGGTCAGGAAGGTTGGTTAGAGCGTCTCCACGACCTTCAGTGGCGAGCGTGTGAGACTCACTGGTGACTCGTCTGAGTGACACACCTGGGTACCCTAACTCTCACCACTACCCAGATACCCGCCTCCCATCACTACCCAGATACCCGCCTCCCATCACTACCCAGATACACGTCTCCCATCACTACCCAGATACCCGCCTCCCATCACTACCCAGATACCCGCCTCCCATCACTACCCAGATACACGTACCCATCACTTACCCAGATACCCGCCTCCCATCACTACCCAGATACCCGCCTCCATCATATCCCAGATACACGTCTTCCCATCACTACCCAGATACCGCCTCCCAATCACTACCCAGATAACCGCCTCCCATCACTACCCAGATACACGTCCCCATCACTACCCAGATACCCGCCTCCCATCACTACCCAGATACCCGCCTCCCATCACTACCCAGGATACCCGTCTCCCATCACTACCCAGATACCCGCCTCCCATCACTACCCAGATACCCGCCTCCCATCATACCCAGATACCCGCCTCCCATCACTTCCCAGATACCCGCCTCCCATCACTACCCAGATACCCGCCTCCCATCACTACCCAGATACCCGCCTCCCACCACTAACCAGATACCTGCCCCACATCACTAACCAGATACCCCCCTCCCATCCACTTCCCAGATACCCGCCTCCCATCACTACCCAGATACCCGCCTCCCATCACTACCCAGATACCCCGCCTCCCACCACTAACCAGATACCTGCCCCACATCACTAACCAGATACCCGCCTCCCATCACTTCCCAGATACCCGCCTCCCATCACTACCCAGATACCCGCCTCCCATCACTACCCAGATACCCGCCTTCCACAAACACCCACCACCCGTTAATACCAGTCTACTCTTAGCACCTGCCTCCCGCAATCACTTGTGGGAGGCAGGTGTTAACGTTTGAAATCTGTGCCGGATATGAATATAGGAATCTGTGCTGGTGTTGAATATAGAATCTGTGCAGGTGTTGGATATAGTAATCTATATAATGTTAATGATGGTATACGTCACAGACTAAAAGAAAAAGACAAACGTGTGCAGTATTTGTTTATCTTTATTTCCGAAACGCTTCGTCTTCACAGTAGGCTTCTTCAGTCGAATACGGGCACGTATAATATTAGAGACAGAAGTAAGTTTCAGGTGTTCACTCCCTCAGCAGAAATAAGGCGTAGCATCTGGTGGTGACATCACAGGTGAGCGTGGCCCACTAGCGGAAGCAGAGCATGGTAAACATTTGTTTAGCAAAAGAGTTGCAGAGCACTTAACGTTGTACCAAGATACCATGAGGCATATCAAGGAATCAGTGTAAGTGCTGGACATAGGAATCAGCTGGGCGTGGCTCACTAGTGGAAGTAGGTCAAGCTAATAATTTGGATCAGCGTTTAACAATAAGCTGGAGAAGTATATAAGGGAGATGGGTCGAGCTTCAGAGCTGTGGAAGATATCTTGTGTCAGCAAACTATGGTGTTGCTGGTTCAGACAACTATAAAAATATTAATAATGGTATACAGTTTCTTCAAGCTGGATATCTTTATAGTAATCAGTGCAGGTGGAGGTAGAAGTAATCCGTGTAATTGGTGGTTACAGGAATCAGTGCAGGTGGTAGTAATAAGTGCAGGTGGAGGAATCATACAGCATGGATCATACAGTATGGATCATACAGTATGGATCATACAGCGCCTGGGAAATGGGAGGCAGTGATGTTTAGTTCGAGTAATGGAAAGGTAGCCCCGGTTCATTAGATCAAGAGCTCTTCAGCATCAAGGCAGCTTCCGTAGAGGACATTGTGTTCATTAAAATAGTGCTGGGGTCATTTCTGGCTTATATATGACAGATATATTCTGCAGGAGAAGAAAGAGGGAATGAAGAAGAGGAACGGAGGAGGAGGGGGGGAGTAAGAGAAGGATGGAAAGGGAAAAAGGAGGGAGGCCATACACACACACACACACACACACACACACACACACTCACACACACACACACACACACACACACACACACACACACACACACACACACACACACACACACCTGGTTGTCAAGACCACACTGGCGAGCCGGATATAGGCTTAAAGGCTTAAGACCACATATCATAAACATTATTATGCAAATTAGCCCTTCAGCACCGTTCCCCCATCAGTAACCTCCTGCAGAGCCATATGATGTTAATTAAAACTAGATATATTTTGGTCGAACCATTATCAAAAAGGTATCCCAGTATTGCATTACTCATAACTCCGGTCCCATCTATCTCGGTGTGCGCGAAAGGCATAGTGCAGAGTGAGGCATAAGTTTGTAATGCAGTTAAATATTAGTGTTTAAGATCCGAAGTGACAGAAAAAACGGAATTCACAAGTTTTCACATGGAAACTAATATCCTAGTTTCTGTACTTAAAATTTAAAAATTAGGTCATTCACAGCCTAACACAGATTTAAACTTTCCAAGAAAGACCAGCTTTAAAAGTTCAAAGCCAAACCGAAGAGGCATTATATAGTTATTTCACATAGATCGGTATACCCCATTACACTAAGTTTAAAGGCGCTCAGAAGTTGCGTTATCAAGTTATGGGGTTGACAGTGCTGCTCAAATTATCTTATCAAAAGCAGTATTTAAATTTTTCCAATTTCTTCAATAAAAATGGTATTTTGGGACGTACACAGGCCAAAGTCAATCCAAGCTTTTCTTTAAGTAAGACTGATCGGCTATTAAGGTTTAATAACTTTTATTTAGGCTTTGCATATATAAAATACAAATTTGTTGCAATGGTCTTGAGAACATTCAGCTGTCACGTGTACATAAAAACTGCATTCTCCAGTTATTTCTCTGAACATTATTTAATAAATAAAGGAAACTTCCTTTGATAAAAATACATCAGCACTTAAAACTGACCAGAAGTTGTATTGTCAGCTGTTGCACAGAATCCCAACAATTTCAAGTTTATCAACTTGGCGACAAAATTAAGAAACTTACGCCACTCAGGAGAAGCATACTCTAGCTCTAATGGAAAATACTGCTGTACCGTTTCGAAATTAAAGCTGACAAAATGCGACCTACACACTCCACTGACAATTCCAACGTTTTGCAAGTAGGATGCACCAGTGTTTAACATTTGAAGACGACCACAAGAGTCTTTCTAAGATGATCACATGGATACCGAAGTCATCAGGAATGGCCAATATATAATTGAGCAGTGGGCATTTGTCCATGCCAATTGTTCCATGAACCTTCCTTTGGTTTCAGTTCACCATGCTTGAAAATTTGAAGCTGATCTGATAAAGCGTTTATAAATTAAAAGTGAAAGCCTTTTGGAGGAAGTTAGTGGAAGACGAGAAAACTGTTCTTACAGGTAATAACTCGTTCCTGCAGCTCGTACCTACAATAACTGGATAACTAAACTTGACAAGAGTTTAGGTCAGAGAAACTATAAACTTTTTCAAGCTAGTCTTACTGAACCTGAATCTAGATCATCCAGTACAAGCATAATCATTAAGTTATTGTAACTGTGTTATAGTCAGTTTATCTCTTAGCATTTTTTTAAAGTGTTAGTACGGTGGGAAATGCACTTTGCCTAATCCTGGCCTTTTGTGTTATAAACTGCTTTGAAACTGAGTTATTAACACAGCATTAACTTCCTGATCAAATATTGATGAATTATGTTGAGGATGATTTTTCTGTTTTTTCAAAATGAGATTTTTTTTTAGATCTTAGGTGTGTGGTGTGTGTGTGTGTGTGTGGTGTGTGTGTGTGTGTGTGTGTGTTTTGTGTGTGTGTGTGTGTGGGGTGTGTGTGTGTGTGTGTGCCAGCCAAGTTTTGTAGATAAAATAATAAGTGTTTATTAGAGGAAACGTTTCGCCACGAGTGACCTGAACTGTACATAAGTGTCTTCCATATATTGTCTGTATCACCATACCATTTTTTCAATAGCTTCTTTTGTTGCTAGAAATTCAGATTCAAGTATTTTAGTAAATACTTCATGCTAGCTTGTTATGGTAAGTAAAATAAAAAAAAATTGTGTCAGAGAGAGCATTGGTATAGCTTACTGATATAACACCAACATATCAATAGTCAAAACTAAACCCAAGGAAAATGTTGAGGGGTGTGTACTTTCCTTCCTGCAAGTAGAGTCTGGAAATATGTGCGACAAACAGGTAAAATTTTGAATAATGTCGTGTACGAACACAGATGTTAGAACAAGTAATTAATGAAAGCATTTCTTTGTTCCATCGTGCACGTGACTGCAACCACAATTTACATTTTTAAATTTGCACACTAAATATAATTACATAGTTAGTTTAATATGTTTATTATGCACCCGATACCCATCCTGTGGGCGGTAGTCAAAAGATTACAGAGGTACATAATTGGTCCAGGGACTGGACTCCAAAGTTTTGATAGCTGAGCAAGTTACAGAGGTAATGAACTCACAATTTACAAAGGTAATGAACTCACAATTTACAAAGGTAATGAACTCCAGGTAGGTCTGGTCACAATCATGACAAGTTACAAAGGTATTTACAATTACAGAGGTACGTAATGGGTCCAGGGACTGGGCCCCCAAAGAAAAAAAAAGAAGAGAATTGTCGAGTCAAAGTTTGTGTCAGCTCCAAACTTTCATCAAAGTAATTCTCATCCAAGTTACTGAAGTCAGGCTGTATGACCCTTGTGGATTTAGCTCTTAGTTATTATAATAATTCTGAGAGAGGTAACAAATCGACTGTTTGCCAACAAGGCAAGTTGGCCCAAAGAAGGAAACATTCACCATCGATCAATCAGTAGCTGTCTCTCCAGAAGTGTACAGTCACCATAATGCAAATGACTCTCCAAACTGCAGCAAATTCACCTCAGTTGTACTTCCCACCTCTAGAAGGAAAGTTCAATTAACTAATTTCCCTTAATCCACTTCATAGATGCTACCTTGGTCACACTCTAGCAACACATCATATCCCAAAAACAACCTACAGGATCCTCATAGCCTTATCTCTCAAAAATCCTC